GGTTTTACGCCCCCCCCTCCTGGTAATTATTGCGCAGCCCCTTAAACCGGAAAATTAAGGCGAGTTTGCCATTAGAACTAAACTCAATCTTGAGTTTATAATTGGGAGAATTGCAAAGGCAGCTGAACATGGGAACAGTAGAATCAGGTATGATGAGACACTTAAAGGAGCTCCTGAACGAGCCATCCATTCTATGCTCGGGCTGTCGTTTTTCCTCCATGATCGAAACCTCTCACCTTACATCGCCGACCAGAAGGGTAGCCTGAACAACAACCCTACATTTCCCTCCGGGCGGGTCCTGGTCCGGCTTGGTAAGGGGATTTAATTTCGTTCATAGCGCTGCAAATACATACAAATACATGTAAAGAAACCCAGCCAAGCTGGCCCATATTCGTGAGTCGAAATGGTATCGACTGGTCGACTGGTCGGGCGGGTTTCGCAGATTCCTCTATACTGTCGCTACGATCGTACGAGGCCGAGTGGAATACATGTTGACCACGGACGCGTTAGAAGTCACCGCGCAGGCCTTCCCATGTTTGCATCGACATGAAAACCATGYGTTGTGTAGTGATATTTTGATTCAATTAAATAAAGAGTGTTTTTTTTTCAGTTTTATGAGAAGATTATCGGAGCAACCCCCTCCCTCTTCGTTGTTTCCGCCTAGATAAAAAAGAAACCCATCCCCAGATAATGGTTGGTCGGTAGCGTTACGCGGATGTGTAGGCAGCGAATTAGCATAGGCCTTCTCGATTTCTCCCATAACTTAACCAAGCCTTTAGAGCTATGAACGGTTGCACAGCGATGAAAATGGTTTACCATTATCCCTACTATTATCTTAATTAATATTTTTAGGTACACCATCTACTTAACTCAAAATACTATTATAGATTATTGTTTTCATTGATCATTGTTATCATATTCTTGACTATTCCAAGGGGCGGAAGGTAATTAGGGTAGGGATGAACTAGCGAAAGCTATAATTAAGTAAACCTGTGAATTATTTATTATTAGATTGATTATCTCCCTATGCAAGACCGTATAGCATCAGATGGAGTCAAAACGAGTCAACAAAATCAATCATTTTTTCTAATGACAAACCTACGTCTGATGTTAGTCAGCTACGTCACTCCAGAACGATTTAACATATCAACGGCAACAGAAAATCTTAAGAGAGGTTTGTCATTCTCAGTTGAGGACTGGAGCATTCAGGCAGCTTGTTATTGCAGCGGACAAGCATCAACATGCCAGGTACTGTATATATTTTTACTCTTGATTAAATACTCAACATTTGAGGGCAACATGATATAGCCTCCTAGTTTCTTTTCCTGTAATAAATGCAGGGAGGTCAGGATTTACTGTTACCCCATTTTGGCTCGGTTTCAACACGTTTTATAAGTGTTAAAGAGTAAAGAGTTGACTAAGAGTTGTGGTGCAACGAGATTTTCGAAAATGTACTTCAAAATATATATGATTTGACGAATTTCTTGTTATTATTCTGTGAATTATTGATATATGTATCGAATATGTAAGTCAGCATGAATTTTGAGATTGCTATATTGTTTTAGAATGATACTCACTGTGTATGTGAGAGAAACACGGCTGGAAGAAACTGTGAGAAATGTTTGCCTCTCTTCCATAACAGACCCTATGAAATATGGAAAGCATGTCAAGGTATATATAACAGTATCAATCCTAGATATTGTTAAATGTCACTTACTAAAATTATTAAAAGAAGTATTAGAAGTAACTGAGTTCCTCAGTACTCATCTTTTTTTGTGAGGTTGTTAGAGTGCAGGACTAGTCCCTCTCTTTCCCTATTTTTCCACAGGTATAGCCCACAATTTGTTTGTTAATCTTCAAAACATTTTAACTGTTTTGAGTCAATATTATTATTATAATTTCCATTATAATGTAATTTTCCTAAGGAAATTAACCTATATAATTAACAAATAGATCTCAGTTTTCCGTGCGTGTGTACTCTAATAGATACACAGATGACGTCAAAATGTAGTGAGAACAAAAAAGGTACGCACGAGACGCAGTCGAGTGCGTGACTGTTGTTCTCACTACATTTTGACGTCATCTGTGTATCTATTAGAGTACACACGCACGGAAAAATGAGATCTATCTGTTTTATACAACAAACAATTAGTTTTGACGTAATCCGTGTATCTATACTTTGATAACACACGAAAGCCAACCAATCAAAACGTCTGATTTTACTGAAAAGTTGTATAAA